AACGTTGAAGCATGCAGGAATAAACAGTGAAGATCAAACTAAAACACACTACTAGCACATGAGTCTAATATGCAATAGCTTGCTAATCTTCCAAATTTTGCAATTTCAGGAAATCACTGAGTAAAAGGAAACATGCATTTGCTTTCCCAGTGTGCTCACACGAAAAACATGTTGGTTAGACCGGCACAACAAATGCTCTCACCTTGCAATTCACAGCTCCGTATACCTGCCACATGTCCACAACATCTCTCTTGTCATACTGCATACATTTGACTTTTTCAGTGATGCAGACGTTGACCTGAGGTTTGCCTTTATACGTGTTGGATCTCCAGGCTGGTTGCTTCACGTCTGCGGGAACAACCTGAATGTCATCAAACGAGCTGCTCAAGCTGCTGATGTTTGCATTTAAGGGGGTGCCAAGTGGACATGCCTGTATGATCAAAGTGCGAAGCTGGCCTGCTTTTGCACTCAACTCCGCTTCATTTTTCCGACTGGGAGAAATGTAGTCCAGGATGCCAAACAGAAGAGCGAGTCCTTGCGAGAGCCCAGGGATGGTGAGGAGGGGCGGCCGAGGCTCCAAGGCTTCCTCAACCAGCGGCAGGCAAGCGTAGATCAGCCCGCTCTTCTGGAAAGCCACCACGGGCCAGAGGTCCCCTCCCTCAACGCGAACCGAGCGCACCGAGGAGTGATCGATTCGAGTGCTCGTATCTCGGTGCTCCACAAAGCTCTGGTCCTCTGTGAGCCTGAGCTCAAAAAGCAAGGCCTTGAGGAAATCGCTGTCAGACGGCACAGCCACGTGTGTTGATCCATTGAAGGCTTCCGCGCGTGCCTCAACAGTGGGGTAACGCCTGCGACACAGAAACAAGAGCGTCTCAGTGCTACTCCTCTTTTCCCACTCAAAATACAGCATTCCTAAAAGCAGAACCACTTTGTCTCTTTCCTTGATGATCTCCTTGAATGCAAAAGCACTACAAAAGTCCTTGGAGTGTTGCTGGGTTTCAGGTACACTCATTCAACAAATGCTCAATCAGATATTTGGCTACTAGCAGAAGTTGCCCAGAGGTGCTGGTGCCCCATCCCTGCAGACACCCAAGGTCAGGCTGGATGGGCTCTGAGCACCTGAAGGAGCTGTGGGTGTCCCTGTTCACTGCAGGGGAGTTGGACCAGAGGGCCTTTAAGGGTCCTTTCCAACTGAAACAATTCTATGATTCTACAGATGGAACTCCTGAAAGCTCCTAGAAGTACCCTCGTGCCAGAGGATGCCAGCACTGCTCCGACACAAAGAGCAAGAGGATCACACACTAAATCATGGTCAGTAAAACTATTTCACATGCAATTAGGAATCACACTAACAAGCAGATTTTTACTGGAAACTTTGAGCAAATACATTCACCTTTTTTTTTTTTTTTTTTTTTTTTTTTTTTTAAAACAAACTGTGTTATCTGTCTGTCTACCATTTACAGTCCTATCTGTCTGACCTTTTGCATACATAGAGTATTTCATGACACTAATGAAGCCAAGCACAACTCACCGATGCAACAAAACTCCAACAGCAAAATATTTCTAAGAGGTGAGATCGCTCTAAACACAAGTTTTCACATACTTAAGAAAACGAATGCCACACCTGACCAAATTCTACTTTTTCAGCTTTTTTTGCCTACATACAGCTACTGCTGTAGTTCTGCTACTCTGCTAAATACACTGAAATTACCTACATACAGGGTTTGCACTTCCGAGCTTGCACAACTGATCTGCAGCAGCTGTTCAACTAACAAGCAAGATGAAATAAAACTCTCCACAATACTGTAAATCCAAGAAGACCTCAGTGTACCTAAGCTCAAATGTTCCAGCAACAGTTGCAAGGTTTTTGCGGGAGAGCAAAGTGGATTCTGCAGCGCAGGTACAATACATGTTATTTGAGTGCTGTTATGACTGTTCCTTTTTGATTTTGCAGTATTTACAATGTAACCATAACATCACAGAGGCACAGTTTTGTATATTCTAAAACTGCAGTGCTGCATCAATGTCAATACTCTACTCCACTTCAAATGTTCTGCAGATAATGTTTGAGAATAAGCACAGGATTTTCCTCTGAAGCACTATCATTTTTTACAGGAAAGAGGGGTGAACTTCTTCTCAAGCTAACTAAAACCTATCAAGAAGAATTGAAGAGTTCCCTTATTAAATGACAATGACAAATCAGTTTCCACCATTTTTTGTTTGAATTACCGACTCCCTCGAGCCTTTTAAATTAAGTCTGATGACAGGTTAACATTTCAATATTCTTTTTTACTGATTCTTATAGCAGTTACTCATGGCCCCTCAAAAGCCATGCCATGAGTTGCACACTACAGAACAAGAAGGATCCCTCTGAATCACACTGCAGCCAATCTGTACTCAGGCCACGTGTTTGTGCCCAAGACCACACTTATAAATGAACACGAGAGAAAAAAATACCCAGAAACATCAACGCCTTCACTTATTCCCCTTTAAATACAATTTATTTTTTTTCAATATAGTGACAGCCTGTTTCTTAAATTGCCATGGACTTTGTAATCCCAGTGATGTGGTATTTTGTTTTATCTATGACCTCCACATGTAACATCCCTGAGCACTTGTGTGGTTCTTATCTTATTGCCCCCACGTCTCACTTGCACCATCTACAAGAGCAGCAGCCCCTTGCTGGAGGCAAGCCATGCTTCCTCATGCTTGTTTTCGTGACTGTGCTTTTTCATCTGATTCTTAATCATGCATCTGGAGCACCATTTTTTTCCCATAAGGAAAAGGTATGCATAAGCAGAGAGAAGCCAGAGCTACGGGATTTGTAAACAGGATACAGATGACAGTGAAACACCTCCCTCCAGTGCCACATCTGTTTTGAACAACAAGGAAACAGAGTGTTTTTGCTGCTCAAAAATTGACAAGGACTTCCTGTGCAAGGACACTGATAAGAGGCTGCGGGTAACCTTGGTGAGCATCTCTTATTTTTGGCCGATGTTCCCAAAACAAAGGAAGAGGAGATATTTCAGCCTAGTTTTGTCCATCCCAACCAGCCGGCTGCATTTGCTAGAGCTGTCCCCACAGCACAACCACCTTCTCCTCCTCCTCCCACTGCATCTTCCTAGCGTTAGCTGAGTCATTAGACAATTAGTTAGCCCTTCTGATCTCAGTTTTTCAGTATTCCCTTCTAGGAAGCGATGAAAACTTAAAAAGATGAAAGTTTCCTGGGCTGAATGAGCTTTAGTGATTCAAGAGAGCGACCACGCTTGTTGCTTGAATTAAGTTATGATCAGCTCAAAAAAGTGGAATGCTTTGATGTCCCAGATGTCTTCTCTGAGGTTAAAGATCAGGGCTCACGTATCTCCAGCTGAGTGCATAAGTCCCGAAACCAACAGCTTCCATGTGATCTGGCATTCTTTATATTGTCTGCACGCTTTGTTGAATTTAAGGTCAGTTAGGAGGATAAACTTGGGGTTTCCACAGCCCTATTATTTCCTCTGGGAACTTGAAAGATCTAAGTCTGGAAATCACTTGAAGTATCAAGTCGAGTTTGCCCTTTTCAAAGGAGCGCTCCTGGCTGACTGTGTGACAAGTTACTTCACAGATCCTTGTCAGCAGCCCCCGGCCTCCATGGTGATTACACTCACCAGCTTTGGGACATGGCTTTCTCTTTCTCTGCGTTTGTAGAGGGGAGGCCACATCTCTCAACTTGTAGGTAATACAAGGACTATAATACTAATCCTAAAACAATCAGAGGAATGCCCAGCGTGGAGAGCTGGCTGCACCCAAAGATGGACAATGCTCTACTTACTCCTCTTTTTTGCTTCCTTCTAGCTTCTCAGCTTTACAGAATTCAGATGAAGACTTTATACTGTTCCACACATTTTTTCCTTCCCCAACCTATTTTTCCTCTTGTTCCTCCCACAGAGGAAATGGCTGCAACATTGCCCAGACCAACAACACCAGCTTGCCTCGCCCAAAGTCTTACTTAAAACTCTGCAACAGTTCTGAACACAAAAAGCCCTCCTTTGGGTCAACCTCACTTTGTATGCAAAGATTAGAACCAAACTGAAACATTTCTGCACTCTCAGTGCAATTCAGCATGATGCTAATGAACAGAAGTGGACACGTGTTCTGCCTGTGTGCCTGGCAGCATTTCCCAACTGCTGCCTTGTCCTTTGTCACATGATGACAGAGAGCGGTGAGGTAAAATGTTTGCAACAAAAGAGAAGCCAAGACAGAAAGAGGAAGAGGGAAAGAGAATTAAATACAAAATACAGACATTGTAAAACGAAAAGAAAAAAAAAAAGGAAAAGGTAAAAGGAAAAGGAAAAGAAGGAAGGAAGAATAGGAGAAAGGAAGAAGGGAGAAAGGAAGAAGGGAGAAAGGAAAGAAAATTAAGAAAAAAAGAAAAGAAGGGAGAAAAAAGAGGAAGAAAAAAAAAGGAAGGAAAAAAGAGGAAGGCAAATAGGAAGGGAAAAAGAAGGAAAAAAAAGAAAAAATAGATGAGAAAAAAAGAAAAAAAGAAAAAAAGAAAAAGAAAAAAGGAAAAAAGTAAAAAAAGAAAAAAAAAAGAAAAAGAAAAAATAGAAAAAAGGAAAAAAAAAGAAAAAGAAGAAAAAAGTTAAAAAAAAAAAAAAGAGAAAGGGAAAGGGGTTTGGGGAACACGACCAGAATCCAGCGCTCGGTACTGACGGCTCCAGGCCAGCACTGCTGGTCCCGGCGCATCCCGAGCGCCGTCCCTGCGATGCACGTTCACCAGTTCCCCGTTTCCCAGCCCCTGCCCGCCGTGCCCCACCCGCCTCATCCCCCCGCTCTGCCTCCGCCGTTACCTGGAGAACAGCACGGCCCGCGGCTCGTGCCGCAGCACCCAGAGCGCCCGCAGCGCCATAACGCGGCGCAGGGGGCTGCCGGGCCGGGGCGCCGCGGCCGGGGAGGAGCCGGGAGCTGCGCGCGGCACTGCCGGCCGGCGCACGGCCATTTCCGGCGGGCGGAGGCGGCGCCGCGGCGGCTGCTGCTGCCGCTGCTGTGCCGGGACACAATGGGCGGCGGCGACGGGGCGGCGGAAGGCCGCTGAGGAGCCCCGCGGTCATGGCCACCGCGGCCGAGCTGTTCGAGGTGGGTGCTCGGGTTCCGTGCGGGGTGTCCGGGCCTCGGGATGGGAAACCCGGAACCGGGAGGATGAACGGGAGGGTGTGGAGCGAGGGGGGAGGAGGAAGTTTGGGTGATGGCGTGCGGGGCGGCAGCCCTCCTCGTCCTCTCGTGCACCGCTGTCAGCTGCGCCGTCGGCTGACAGCGCTCTGCTCCGGAAGAGAGCGCTGAAACGCGGAGGGAACTTCGCCCGACGGCGTCGCGTCGCCCGAGTGCCTCTGAAACGGTGAGCACGCCCTTGATCTGCCGCGTATTGAGGCCCAAGAAGGCAGATATCTCGTCCGAGGCCACGCACGGGCAGGGCAGGGCGCTCAGCAGGAGCCTGGCCGTCCTTCTGGCCTGGACGTGCTGCGACCTGCGTGCCTGTTCCTATGGCTGGTGCGTGGAGGCATCGCTCCAACCCATCGCTGCCGGTTGGAGGCACTCAGGTGCCCGTTGGGTGTGTTAACACTGGGACACGCTTTCCCCAGCCTTCAGGATAGGCCTTCCTGTTTCATCACAGGGTCTGGTGTCTTGTCTAAAGGCATTGTGCTCACTTGGATTTATGAATCAACGCCAACACGTGGATGTTGTGACTCATGACTTTTTGCTTGCTTGGTTTTAAGAAACAGGGAGAATAATGCAACATGACCTATGTAGGTGGGTGCCAGGCTTAGTGTCCTCTCCACACCTCCACCATAGACTCTTCTCAAGAGGTTTCATTCCTCAGCATGGCGATTATGTGGATGCTGAGCATGGGAGAACTTCTGTGTGTAAAGAAAGCTGTGGTGTTCAAGGCCAGGTTGGATGGGGCCTTGGGCAGCCTGGGCTGGTATTAAATGGGGAGGTTGGCAACACTGCATGTGGCAGGGAGGTTGGAGATTCATAATCCTTGAGAGCCCTTCCAACCCCGGCCATTCTGTGTTTAGGCGCTTTGGGATCATGCACAACGTGTTCCATTTTGCAATAGAGGTGAGATTACAAAGTAGCTGAGATCTTTGCAAAAAGATCCATTTGAAGTGTTGTTTTCCAGAAGGGAAAGCAACACTTCGTTCTCTCCTGTTTGCATTTCAGTACAGAGGCAGGAGGGGTTATATTCACATTTATTACGTTAATATTGCCTCATGCATTAGATTGAAGTGACTGCCATGAAGGTAAGACATGAAAACACGTGCTTGTTATGGGAGTAACCCTCAGCTGTATCCTGAGATTAGTGTTAGATTTCAGTCTTTGTATGAAAGCATGTTTGAAAGTAATTTTCTGTATAAATATGTGAAGTTGTATGGGAAGATCTGCTGAAAATGGATGCTATGTGCGCTCACTCTACCCCTATGTAACTCAAAATATAATGATTGTTTCTAGATTTTAATGTGGCTTGGTCCAGTTTAGTGTTCCTACAGGCCAGGTTATCACCCACTTGAGGCTTATCTCTTATTAAATCAGGAGTATTGGCAGGATGGATAGGATCGCGCTAATTCATCTTGAGCTGAAGCTGAGTTCAAAGCTGTGAAGAAATTGACTGTTGGGGCTCATCTGATAACAGGCAATGGACTTGCAAATGACATTTGTAGAAGCTGATTTTCAGCAGTTTCTTCAGGACTGGAAAGGAAAATTAAAATAGGAATTAGGCTATCGGATAGCTATAGGTGACCGTATTATCAAGATAGCATTAAAAGCAGTCTGCATTTCCTTAGGAGACCCAGCTTGCAGAAAAGCTCTGTAAAGTTGGTTTAAATAATAAAAAAAGAATCATTATGCGTGTAGGGGCAATTATATTGTGTGAACATTTGAATGAATTATAGAATCATAGAATGGTTTGGGTTGGAAGGGACCTCAAGGATCACGGAGCTCCAGGCCCCCTGCCGCATGCAGGGTTGCCAACCTCCCCATTTAATACCAGCCCAGGCTGCCCAGGGCCCCATCCAACCTGGCCTTGAACACCTCCAGGGATGGACGGGGCATCCACAGCATCTCTGGGCAGCTGTTCCAGCACCTCACCACTCTCTCTGTGTATCTATGTACATGTGTGTATATACAGGCACACAGAACACATCAGTAAGTAGTGCACCCCTTATACAGGTCTATTCCATAGAGTTGGCATTGGTGTCCTTGCATCCAGAGTGGTACTCCAGCTGGGTTATGGGATCTTCAGAAGAAAGGCTGTGGTTTTTATACGAAGGAGAAGTGCTGAGAAGATCCATAAGACAACTATGAAGCTGGGGGGCTCCCTGAAGGGGCTGCTGCTGTGTTGAATGGCTCATTTCAGCTATAATTAAACTACCAAAAATGTTCCCAGTGACTCGGATGTAAAGGTGATGTAAAGAGAGAGTTTATACTTAGTATGGAAGCGCTGTGTTGTAAGCTCTGATGAAAAGGGTCCACGTACATGTAACCACATTGCATATTCCGATTTGAGATATGATTTTATATCAGAACTGAGATGAGGAGATGAGTGATGTGTTGGGAAGTGTGTTTTCAGTGCTACTGCTTTTGAAGCTCAACCAAGTTGCCTGAGCAGAACACAGTTGCTGTAGTCAGTCTTGGGAAAAGGAGTCACCCACTGAGATGTTGAAACTTCTGCATAAGCCAGCAGGATTCAGCACATTGCAAAGTATATTCAAAAAGCTTTTATATGGCTTTTGGATGTGGCTCTGGGCAGCCTGGTCTGGTGGTTGGTGACCCTGCACATAGCAGGGGGGTTGAACTGGATGAGCATTGTGGTCCTTTTCAACTCAGGCCATTCTATGATTCTATATTTCTGTTTAATAGCTGGGCTTGACTGGGTAGGGCATGATGTGTTTGGGGAGAAAGGCAACTTCATTGCTAAGTGCAAGGACTGGCAGTGTTTGCTTTCCAGCCCTTGCTTTTGCACTCCTGCTTCTGTGTTGGGTCGTGCTTTTAGATCCATTGCATGTAATGGAAAAAGCTCCCTGTGAAGTCCTAGAGACTGTGAGGATGCTTCATTAACCAGTCTGAGATGTGGCAATGTTAGCACCAGTGCAGTGCTGCTAGATGACCAATAGATCTAAAGGAAGAAGTAATGCTTGGTGGTGTTGGTTTATTTGTTTTGCTGTTTGTTAATTAAGGGATAGGTATCATTGCACTTTGTTTTGGATACTTTACTATTCAGCTGTAGAAGAAATGGTTGAGCTGGTGTGTTTGATCAGCTAGAATACGAGCTCTTAGTTCATCCAGAAAATGTTAGGAGCAAAAATAATTAATTCTTCACCATTGTGCAGAATGTTTGTGGAAGATCCAGAAGATAGTATGGGGCAAACTTGTGTAACCTTGTGCTTTTAACACCATGCACACCCTGTTTTCCCTTTTTGGGAGAATAAAAAGAATGAGTGTTGCCTGTTCTTATGCTTCCTTTGTTTTTTCTCCCCTTTATCTGCTTTGTTTCTGCAGCTGCAGTTGGATGTCACATAGTGAGCAGCAGCATTCTGGCAGTGATCTGCCACAGGGCAGTGCTTTGGTTACTTTTGCTGGTGGTTTAGCTTGCAGAACATGTCAGACACTTTGCAGTGACAATCCATAAGCTCACTGGGAAATAAAGGCAAGTAATGTAGAGGCAACTCTGCATGGCCTGTGAGAGAGGCACTCTGGAAGCTAGTAGGCCAGGTGTTCAAGCCCTACCACGTTGAGAACAACGTTCTTTATTAAATATATCAGCATAAGGGGTGATGTGCTCATTGTCAATGCTGTGGTTGCTCTTCATTGCAGTGAAGCTTTCAAAATGATGTGCCACATCTTAACCAGCTGCTTACACGTTTTAAAGAGTTTTTATTTCGTGTCTAGGAGCCTTTTGTGGCAGATGAATACATTGAACGGCTGGCATGGAGGACACCTGGAGGAGGTTCCAGAGGTGGAGAAGCTTTCGATCCAAAAAGGTAAAATAAAATTGTGTAATGGCCTTGCATGGTTGCATCTCTAGTTGCACTGCTTTATTACATACACCCTGCTTGTAGTGCTGGTGCACACCCAGTGAGATTTTTGTATGGGAGAACAGTTTGTGACCACGAGCCAATTACTCAGAATTGACAGGAGTGGGGAAAGTCGCTTTCTAATTTAGGCAGTTTGAATAAAGGAGAATTGATGCTGTTATTCGTTGTCAGACATGAACGTTCCAAAGAACTGAAGTTTCTGGATTAAAGCATAATATTAGGCTTTTCTGTTAAGATCATTAAGTCAACTTAATGAGTTTCTTGCTAGTTTAGCTTGTTTGAGGACCCAGCACTATAAGTCACAAACTGGTAGGCTGGGAAGAGGGGCATTGGCAATGTTGACATAGCTTGTTTTGATCTGAGTGTGTGTGCTGCGGTTTGAACCAAATGAGCAGCTCAGTTCTTCTGGATGGAGGTGGACTTGAGCCCCTTTTCTTTGCACTTAGCTGCATGCTGTGATGGCTTATCTCGAGCTAACTATAGGCAAATGGTATCAGGATAAAATCCACCTCACTAAAATATCTGGAAACTAAGCCAATGGAGACGTCAGCTTTTTCTAGCTGAGTTAGCATTTTGGAAAGCAGAGCAAAGGGAAAATTCGGTGTCTGTGATCTAGTGGTAAGGAGAAAAGGAGCAAGGGCAGGGTACAGAGGAAATGGGGAAGGGGGAAACAGTGCAAAACCAGCTCTTGTTTGTGGCAAGGAGGGTGAAGTTTCTCAAGAGAGACAAGCCAAAGTTTAGAAAACAGTTCTCTGTTACTGGCCCAGCACCAGGTGGTGCACTGATATCTCTGAGGCATGAATTTATACAGCACCATTTTACATCTAAACTTCAGTGTTTTGCACCTCTGGACCTTCCTGGAAGCAATCAAAGCCAGGCTGGATGGGGCTGTGAGCAACCTGCTATTGAGAGAGGTGTCCCTGCCTATAGCAGGGGGTTGGAACTGGATTGTCTTCAAGATCCCTTTCAACCCAAACCATTCTATGATCTTCATTTTCAAAAAGTGGCCATTTCAAATAGTGCTACACATTAGGTTTTTTTTTTGTTTTTTTTTTTTTTACCAGTATTGGCATTTTTTTTAGAGATGCAATTAAATGTTCTAATTTCTCAAATGATTGTTACCTGTGAGATGAGCTTGATCTTATTCCTGTTATAATTATTGCAGTGCTTTTGAGCTCAACAGAAAGTTTAGTTTCCTCAGTGTTGATTTAGAATTATGGTGGTGAATCGATCCACAGAGTGCAGTAGCTTAGTGACTTCTTACCCACACAATCTTATTTCTCTTTGAGGTTGTCTGTAGCTACCTAAGATAAAAATCCTGAGAAGTTTAGGATTACTAACTTCATAGATGAGCTGTTACTCAAAATGGATGTGAAAAGCTTCATTAACATGGACAAAAGGCGCTGGTTTTTAGCAGTCTGGCTCTTTGGAGGAGGATGGATGCTGAGCTGTTAACACTGAATGAGAGGTCAGCATCCTATATAGAGCTTTACATGCAAGATAAGCAGGAATAAGCCTGCAAATACACACCATTGCTTCCTCTAGCTGTTTTTCCACAGCTGTGCCTGGGACTTCACAGTAGTTAGTGATTGTTGCCCACACCAACTCTGGTTAAATTAACCTCTCTTCTCTAGTCCTGTGGGTTTGCTCGTTTTAACTTCTGTGATGCACTCTCACGTATATCAAGATGAGTGGAGGTCTCCCACAACAGTAAATAATTTTCTAGTGAGATCTTCCAGTGTAGGAGGAAGGGAAGGCAAAAGAAACAGAAACCTTTTGGCTGTGTGGTTTTGGGATTGTTTTTTTCCTGTTTTTAGAAACTGATGCTTTCTTTTGCTTGTTTTGTAGAAAGGATGTTGAATTCTTTATTTCTGTTCTGAGAAACATGCCAAGCAACTATTTAACTGGTATTTCTATTTAAGCATTCTTTCCTCTCTTGCCTTACTGAATGCTATTGCAGACTAAGTGCTGAATTGGCATGATACCTGTTTCAAAAACAAACCTATCCCAAACTACACAGAACTGGCTTGTTAAAATGAACAGAAACAGCACTTCTTGATGCTTTTGTTTGAAACTATGCTTTCTGTGACTTCAAATCATCCAGGTTTTATTTTTAAAATACTTATATCTATCCCTCATAGTTTTCTCTGGAATCTAATGCAAGGTGCTTGCTTTTTGGGGTTCTGGCAAGCAGGGAATGGACACAAGGAGTTGTAAGCATTTGTCACAGTCATGGTTTCTGTAGTAAGTTGTCACTTTTTCTAGGCACTCTTGTAAAGATACCACTTGAAAGACTAATTAGTTTTTCAGAATTAGAATTACTAATTAGTTTCTTAGAGTAATACAGTGAGCAAAAAGGCACCAAACAGCAGGGTAAAAACCACTCATTTCAGCAGCAGAAATGAAAACGGAAAATTCAGTTCCCTCCATGCAAGTACAAAAATCATATTAGTATCAATTATGAAATGCTCAGAGAAAGCCCTATGTGTTGGCTGAGAGAATAATAGCAGTTGTTATTGGGAAGGAGTCATGTGAGGGGAAGACAAGGCATTCCACTTCTCCCTTTTGTTTGCTGAGTGTTCCTAGGTTGTGTGTGAGGAGCCAGGGCAGGAGCAGCGTGCCCCTTCTGTGCTTCAGCAGTAATGCACATTGAAAGGACCTCAGCTTCACAAATAGCTTCTGAATAGGGTATGTTTGAAAATGCATGTTCCTCAGCACTCTAGGAGTAGCTCCCTGGAAAAGACTTGGGTTTCTTTTCGTCTTTGCATTGACCTTAAATCTGGACTACAATATTTTTCAATCACTTATATATTTCTAGCTATTAGAATGTATTTTATGGCTGTGGAGGACCTGGGAATAGTTTATTTCCTGCACAGCGGTGACTCGTGTTTAGAAAAATACGAGCTGAAAAGACAACTGGAGTGGGACAGGATGGACAAGAACAAGAATGAGAGGGGAGCACATGGACAGTGGAATGAGAGAGGAGAAAATTTAAGAATGCATTTGAAGATCCTGTGATTGGAAAGAATAAAATGTGTTTTAAAGTACAGTCACAGTGATGGGAAATGGCAGGGAAAAGAAAACTTAGTGGTAGAGAAGAAAGTAGCTAGAGTGTGGCTAAAACTTAGTGGCTAGAGCAAGAAATGCTAGGAGAAAGGAGTGTGGTTATACCCAAAACAACTTTACCAGACTATATGTTTGTATTCATTGCCTTTTAATAGGAGTGTGGCTTGCAAGTTTATTATAAAATCTGCAGTACAGTAGAAACTATTTTAGAATGATAGAATGGCTTGGGTTGAAAAGGACCACAACGATCATCTAGTTTCAACTTCCTGCTGTATGCAGGGTTGCCAACCAGCAGACCAGGCTGCCCAGAGCCACATCCAGACTGTTATATCCCTTACGCTGAAGGGATGTGGTTGCCTGAGCTTCCTTTGTCTTGATGAGATTTAAGGAAGATGGGGATATAGGGATTTTTGTGCTAGTGAAAGAATCAGGCTCTTGAGCAATTGGTGTTTAACTGTGTTCCCCTGCTATCATGCAATATTTACTTGATCACGTAGCTTTTATGTAGACATAGTTCTACACAACTGGCATGGTGTTGTTTAAAATAAAATAGCATCTGTAATTTAGGCATGGTCATATCAGCATTGAAGGTGAGCTCTTGTTTGAGTTATTTGCTCTTTACAAATCTACACTATCTTTCAAACTAAAATCTGCCTTAATATCTTTTATTTTAAATCAGATTATTGGAAGAATTTGTGAATCACATCCAAGAATTACAGGTAATGGATGAGAGGATTCAAAGAAAGGTGGAGAAACTAGAACAGCAGTGCCAGAAAGAAGCCAAGGAATTTGCCAAGAAGGTACAAGAGCTGCAGAAGAGCAACCAGGTAAAATCTAAAGCATGTGGTTGGTACCAAGCTTTGCAGATTTAGAAGCATTGTGTGCTCCCATCAGTGTTTCTTGGTACAGCATGCTTCTGTTGGAGGTAAAAATAGAAAACATGATGGAAAGCAATTTCCCCTGTCAGAGGCTGCTTTATCTGCATGTTCCAGTAATGAGTGTTAGCTGTTCTTCACACTAGTTTAGTGGAAGATGCTAGACTTTGAACAGTGGCTTGAGCTTAATTAGCGGCTCCAAATAGTTGTGCAGCTCTGAGGTGGAAAAGCTGATGCCTGGATTCTGACTGATGTAAATGGAGTGCTTCCAAAAGTACAGGAGATGGAAATCTGAGCATTGTGCCCGTGTGTACGTTCTCCCAGGTTGCCTTCCAACACTTCCAAGAACTAGATGAGCACATCAGCTATGTAGCAACTAAGGTCTGTCACCTTGGCGACCAACTGGAGGGGGTAAACACGCCGCGGCAACGGGCTGTGGAGGCTCAGAAGCTGATGAAATACTTTAATGAGTTTCTGGATGGAGAGCTGAAGTCTGATGTTTTTACAAACTCTGAAAAGGTAAGAGCTGTCAGCGGGATGAAAGCAGTTCAAAGCAATAAGCAGTACTGCCCTAATTACAAGCTGCTACCATGACTTACCATGGTCAGACTTCAAACCAGTGAGTGACTGACTTGTTAAAGTTTCATTGTTCTGAAATGTAAATTAACAACACTAGGCTGCAGATTGCTGATAAAGCATTTGTATTCAGCGATGCTGAATGTGGCAACGTTGGCATTTTTCACTTTATGAAATTATCAGAGATTTGAGCAATTGTGGCGGGGGCAACTTTAGGGTGCATACAATATCTGCCCTTTTTCTTTGAACCTTTTGCCTCAGATCCACCCTGTAACGCAGAACGCTTCTGAATGCAGCTTCTTTGTGAGACTTCACTCTGTTGGGTCAGTCCACTGGCCTTGGATACCTTTTTGTCACAGCATGCTTTTGGGCTTTGTGTAGTCCTGTGGCTATGTCTCCACCCTCTGAATTTAGAGGATCTAGGCAGGAAAACTTCAAAGAAACGTTGAAGCATTTTGTTTTTCTTACGCTTCAGAAGTGTGTTTGTGAAGCAAATAGAATCTGAGTGGTCTGGCTAGTGGAAATAGATAGTAGGAATAGTGTCCAGATGTAAGCAAGAGGGAGCCCATATCTTTCACAGTGCACAGTGAAATGTGATCAGTAAAGGTTGTCTTTTTTTTTTTTTAATTATTATTATTTTTGTGGGCTTTGTTGTTGTTTTTGGTGTTATTTTTGTCTGTCTTCCTCCAAGTGCATCCTGAATGACCATCACGCCTTGGATAAGTTGTGTGCACAGTCAAAAATTGCAGTATTGTAGCAACAGAGAACTTGCTTTGCATGTTCAGCAAAAATATTTTTTCTCAAAATGCATCTCATAAATGACCTCACTGCTGAGCTGGAGGCATCTCTTAGGGAGTTGCAGAATAAGTAATTTCATGTACTTGCATTTCCCAACAAGTCACCTATACAGTGGCATCTGCATTGTGCTCTGTGGGTATGTGATCACTGTCTGTTGATAGTTTGTCCTGCTCTGAGAGGGAGTGCAAAAAAACCTTTTTTGACATCCAAGGAAAACAGGAAGGTTCCAATGTAACAACAGTTCTGTATGTGACCTTTTTCATATTTTTTTCTTTTTTTTCCTGATAAAACATTAATTTTAAAATTATTTAAGAGAACACAGTCCATAACAAGTCAGAAGGTAAAGCAGGTTTTTTTTGTCTGCAGAAAAATCTCATAAGGAATTTAACTTTATTTTTGTAATATTTTCTGTTGGAGGCTCTGAAAAATCTGTGGTAGATAAAATATGATAAGCCTGGAAATTGTTAAACAAATTAATCTTGATATGCCCTGAAGACACAGAGCAAATCTGGAAGAGGAGGAATGCAGGAAGGGCCCGGAGCCTGATGTCAGTCTGCAACTGATGTGTGTGGGGACACACATTTAAACAGCAAGTAGAAATAGTGTTTATAAGGGAGCCTTCCTAGGTGTGAGGTATGATGTCTTAATACATCTTTGAACTAAAAGCAATTCTGAAGTATGAGATGGTAATAAACGTTCTGAAAGGATTTTTGAGCTGATGTGGATTTCCATTGCGATTTCTTGTTCTGTGCCATCCCTTATGAAAGTGTGGACTTCTCTCTAAGCCATTAAGGGCAAGGGGTACTGAGAAAGGGAGGCAAGGAGTTGCAGTGCAATTATTTCTGCAGGAATTCCTGTTTTTCTCGGCAGTGTCAGTTCTTATAATCTCTTGGGTTCTTACCATTTTTATTTTCTTTTCCTTACATTGAAGATGTTTCCCACGTTACTTTGTCCTTGATGTACTGAGCAATTTCCAGCTTATCTCTGTGATGGCTTTTCTTTGCTGTCTTTTCCTAAGCTATGTGCTGTGTGTCTTCATCCTCCAAGCATCTGCCTTGCCCTGCCAGCTAACCAGACCCTCTTCTGCACTGAAGTGTCTTAAAGTGAGCAAATCAATTAAAAAATGATGTAGCAGCTCACTTATTTATCATGCAACAGCATCGTTGTGCTCAGCATTCACTATTATTCTTACATCTCTTCTGCATTAGTTCTGTACTCAGTATTGTTCCATTACAGCTTTCTGCTTCTTCATGCCAATTCTGTTAAAATTTTCTTTTGCTGCTTTGTCCACTTTTTCAGATGCATTATAGCCTTTAAGTTATGTCTTACAGAATCAATATTTATTTTGACTTAATGGTTTACAGAAGCCCGATTCAATTAAAAATGAAATGTGTCTGGATTTAAGCAGAAACCATGGAGAATTGATTCGTCTTGGCTTCTGTTGTGCTTAAGAAAAGGCTGTGAATTCAATAAAAATCTAAGAAGTTAGTTAGCAGCTATTGTGTGAAAAGGAGACAGAAGATGTTGCATTTGTTTGCTGGTGTTTTTTGTTTTGTTCTTTATTTACCTTTCTTCTGGGCTTTTTTTGGGGTGATGCTGGCGAATAAGTGCTGATCTATAGACTGTCCTCATGACATCAGCACTGAGCAGAATTGTTAGTTAGCTTGAAGCAACCTTAATACCTAATAGAAATAACTGCTGTTTCATTGGATTTATTTGAGGAGCGTGGCTGCTTTTGATTTAAGAGGCTATTGTAAGCTGACAGTTCCAAACATAAGCTGCTCTTAATAAGCAGAATGACTATGCTTTATTGGAGCCTCTATTTCTGCTGCACAGCCAGCCTCGTGCAGTGACTGTGCTCTATTTTCCTACCTGTGCATCTTGTTCTGTTCTTGAGAAGTTTTAATCCCAAGCTGCTCGTAAGTGGTGGCAGTGTAGGATCTCAGTGCTTCTGTTCCTCTTGCTCTAGTTCTGTGTACGTCACTAACAGGAAAAGCAAGACAAATTGCACGCTCTTCTTTATACTTTCTGTTATGTCTACTTGTATGAAGACTTTGCCTGGATGTAGTAGTCAGTTTTTCTTACTCCCATCAAGGTTCCTTCCAGTCGCTAAGACCAAATAATAAAAGTTTTTACAGCTGTCTCATAGCCATGCTTTGGAGCAGTCCATGCTATCTACCAAATCAATGACTTTTATCCTAATTCATCACAAAGTATCGTGCTGCAGTTCATCCATCTGTGTGTTATAGTTGTCTATTTTATTTCAGTATGAAAGGGTGCAAAATTGAAACATGATAGTTTTAGCCACGTTACTCAGGGGTGATCAGATCAGGAACTCTGGTCTGCAAGCCTTGTTGGCCTGGTATGGTGATGAGCTTGAGGAGCTGCTTCAAGTGCTTCCATATAGCAGAAGAATTTTTATCATGTTTTGACGAGTGTAATTTGTATATTAAATAATATCTTAAGCATCTTAAAATGCATTCTGTAGGAAAGTGATCTACATGGGGTATATCAACTAAAGGAATAGGAACTACGGTGTGGAAGCTGAACAGTAGAGATGAAAGAAAGGAGTAGCCCATGTTCAGACCTTCTTTAATAACTGGCTGTCATGTTTTTACTCGTAACAGATTAAAGAGGCAGCTGATATTATTCAGAAACTGCATTTGATTGCTCAGGAACTGCCTTTTGACAGGTAAAATTCTACCTGAACATCTCTTTAAAAAAATCAAAACATAAAAATAATAACTTCACGTGGCTGTAATTCTGGAATGCTTTTTTATTTTGGAGGGGGATTGGGTGGACAGCAGGGAGGGAATGGGATGGGAAGGGGCTGTATTTCACTCAATGATTCCTGTATCTTTTGATGTAGAGAGAAATAAGCACACCATGCATTCTTGAATTTGTGTTCGCATACTCATGTTGTAGGATCATCTTTACATACACATCCTAAACTGCTTAACAGACTTTTAATGGGATAATTTTGGTGTGCTGACTTAATGCTAGATTTGGATTAGATGCTTGTAGGTTCTTATGGATATGAAGTATGTAACTTTTCTGTCGTCTTTGTGTTACATATATTCCTTTTTAAATAGATCATGAGTAACAGGCAATCTGGGATGTCTGATTTCTCTTGTGACGTGCATTTGAAATTAATCATGGTATTTTTTGATGTTAACAGGTTTTCTGAAGTAAAATCAAAGATAGCAAGTAAGTTATCTATCCAGTTCAATCCATATTCCCATATGTGCATCGTAAAAGCTGATTAAAGAAATATGCAGTACTGTCAGTATTACCATTATTGCCAGTACTTGTATTACGTAGCTTCATGGATTATTTTTAAATTTTTTTTTTAACCTTCTTTCCTCTGTTCCCTTCCAGGTAAGTACCATGACTTAGAGTGCCAGCTAATTCAGGAGTTTACCAGTGCACAGCGGAGAGGTGAAATATCCAGAATGAGAGAAGTAGCAGCTGTCCTGCTTCATTTTAAGGTAAAAAATAATTAAAAACAAAAACAAATACCCAAAACCAACAAAAATCCACCAACTCATCTTTTAAGTGAAAATATTTGCACAGACAAACAACCGTAACTTGTCTACCTTTTAAAAATACTCAGTATACTGAGATGTTCTGTCTGAAATCAAGTGTAGGGGAATAAAGGAGGCAAATGCCATCCCTGCAGGCATTCAAGGCCAGGCTGGATGTGGCTCTGGGCAGCCTGGTCTGCTGGTTGGTGACCTGCACACAGCAGGGGTTGGAGCTGGATGAGCACTGTGCTCCTTTTCAACCCAGGCCATTCTATTCCATGATTCTGTGGTGGGGAATCAGGAGGCAAAGTCAACAGAGACCATTCTGAGGGAATTTTTCTTGAATGTGTGTAAGTTGTCATTTGTGCTTGAGGAGCATTAAAACCCGTGGTGTGTGTCCATGGAGAGGTGTGATAAGTGAAGTTCTGCTAGGTTTGTGAGAAGAATGGATTTGAAAAAGCCTATGGGTCAGATGAATGCATTTCTTGTGTTAACTTCTTTGCAGGAGTTTTATTTCCTTAATTTTGCTCTATATTAAAAACATGGAGAGCCTGGTTTTAAGCCTTTTTTTTTTCTCCTTCCACAGGGCTATTCCCATTGTGTTGATGTGTACATAAAACAGTGTCAAGAGGTAATGCATTTTATGTTTTAAATGCATCTCTTTGAGTGTTGATTTCCTTAGTTCTATAAGTAGTTGTAAATACGTTGTGAAATTGTTTCCACAACCCTAGGGTGCATTCCTGAGGAATGATGTGTTTGAAGATGCAGCCATTCTCTGCCAGCGAGTGAATAAGCAAGTTGGAGAAGTCTTCAGCAATCCAGAGACTGTGCTAGCCAAACTCATCCAAAACATCTTTGAAGTTAAACTTCAGGTATCGCAAATATTAAGATGTTAAAATTATTGAGGAAGCTTTTCATCCACATGTGCTTGAAGTAACAACTGCTCAGAATTTACAGTATTGATAGTTTTGTATAAAGATGTAGGATCACACTTGATTGCCATATAATGTTTCATACAGGTAATCAGAGCCATTTCAAATAAATCTACCTGCACTGTGGATACAACCAGAAAGAAAAGATTCAAATTCAGAATGTAAAATTAAAAAGGAATCAGCACATTCATTAGCTTGTTCATGAGATGTCATACACATTTGATTTCTTCTGTGTGCCACCTACCTAGAATATGTCAGGAAAATAAATTTCACATTTAATGAATATGTTTAATCTGTTCATAGTTGGAATAGGGTTTCATGTGTGAGGTTAGTATTGAGTAATAATAATAATAAAAAAAAACTTGTAGTATTTTTATGAACATAGAAACCTTAATTGAAAACATTGTTACCCATCCTGAAAGCATAATCCCTTAAGCATGTGAAGTCAACAACATGCCTTTTCATTGCAGAGTGTAATTTCCCAGTCAGTGTTGTTCTCCTTATTGATAGTACAGAGTAGGGACTGAGTTTGTATTTCATCCCTGAATTTGACCATCAACCATTGACCATTTGACCATTTTGACTTAGTATTTTACGGTAAACCATATTTTTGGCCAAATAGTCAATTACAGGAATATTCTAAGCTTGTGTCTGCATTATGTATATATTATAGTAATTAAATATGTAAGTACCTCTTTTTCTTACTGTCAACTGCAGACATGCCCTTAGGCCTCTAGTGGTTTTGATTCTTTAAGAGTGGGATCTTGTGTTTGGCCTAGCATGTTTTCAGAGCAGTGTCTATTCTGTTTGCTTTGCCTGCTGTTACTTTGTATTATTAAATCATTCTCTTCAAAATGAGGTATTTATCTGTAGTAAAGTCTGTTATATCAGAGATTTAACCCAAAGACTATATGAATTGCTTAAGGGTGTGTGCTTTGAAGAAAACTATCTATCACCTAACAAGTGAGGATGACCTCACTGAGGTTTGATACCTGTTCTTCTAACAGATATACCTAAATTTTACAGAGTTATGTAAAGGACCAGCTGGAAGAACACAGGAAATCGGATGCAGAGCAGTATCTTAAGAATCTTTATGATCTATATACAAGGTATTTATATGTAGATGATAAAATGGTTGTTGTAGATATCCTCTTGGAATGAAATGATTAAACGTCATCAAGATGTAGGAAGACAGGACAAAAAAGTAAACTGCTCATAAAAATGGGGAAAATGTAATGTCTGTTAACCTTTCCAAAGATTAGATTCTTTTAGAAACTTTAAATAGCTATTATTATTTTGAATGGGAGGTATTTAGCATTGAGATCTTTGAATGTGATTTTTTTTTTTTTTTTTTTTTTTTTTGACTGGGCAAAAGCCAGTCCTGATTGCCTTGATGGCAATTGTGCTGTATGTAATCAAACATGAATTATGCAAAGTTCTTTACTTAAATATAAAGCTGCTGCTAGAAGTTCTAATCATGGTCTGTATTCTGTTGTACTATGTACTTTACAAGCATGTAATGCTGTAATTCATACAAATGCAACCTTTTCCTCCTCTCCCCTTCTTTGTTTCTTTTGCATAAAGAACTACTAATCTTTCAAGCAAATTGATGGAATTTAACTTGGGTACTGATAAGCAGACTTTCTTGTCTAAGCTTATCAAATCCATTTTCATTTCCTACTTGGAGAATTACATTGAGGTGGAAATTGGTTATTTGAAAAGTAGGAGCGCTATGATTCTGCAACGTTATTATGATTCCAAAAACCACCAGAAGAGGTCTATTGGCACTGGAGGGTAAGTTTCTTCTATTCTTATACACTTCTGAAGTGTAAGGGAGGTGGTAAAGGGAGAAACATTGTATTTTTCATGCTAGATGTACAGTGATCAACTGCAAAAGAGCAGACTTCTAAAGCGACCCACAACTTTTCATAATTTGCTGTTATTTTCTGTTAGCTTTCTCTAAATCTTACTGCTCTTGATACGTGTGAAGGGTGATGCATGGTATTTATGTACTTGTGGAAAATGAAAAATACCAGTTAAACTTATGTTTCAACTTAGGATCCAGATCCACAAAAGGACTGAAGCAAAATTAAGGTACCGAACGCATGTGTATGTGTGTATCTAAAAGCATACATTTTTTTTCACCTGCCCAGGTCTTGTGGTCCCCTCCCAAGACCTAGGAAGGGGAAAAGTCCATAGCAATGTCAGTGAAAAAGCTCTTAGTGAGCCCAGAAGATGCAATGGACTTAGAGAAAGGTAAAACAAGACTTCATTATCCTCAGGGTAGAGAAACTATAAAGCAGTAGGGAGGCATGGGAAAGGAAGAAAGAAAAGTTGTGTGAGGAAAAGGTGATGAGACTATTGCACCTGGGTTCAGGCATGAAGAGTGATTTGAAGAGAACAACAACAGTAGCAAAGTCATGAAATGAAGAAAAACAAAGATAAAAATTTAATTTTCTTGGGGAAAATTAAATTGATTGCAACGACTGGGTTGCTTTATGCATGGAAATGTGTTGGAGCATGCTTGACTAAGTCGTGACTGAACAGATAGGGATGAGGATGAAAGGATTTGTGGGTGTGGATGAGAGAGGAAGACCTCAGTGTTTTGAAAGTAAAAATAACAACGTATTGAGGCTAAACTTTGTCCACAGAGCACACACCCCAGGGGGGAGCAGCTGTTCCCATGGTATGAGCGTGCCGTGGTAGGACACAGCTGACTGTGGGATCGGAGGTGGTTGCTTTGCATTACCAGCAATTTTTTTAAAGCTTCTAAGACTGTCTTAACGCTTGCATATCCTAAACCGTGTCTTGGGTTCTGTTTTTGTAAGTTAACAACTGAATTATTGTGAAGTATTGTTGAATGTGAGCCTCGCGAATTTGCACCCAGCAAAATCTTTTGGTGTCTCTGTTCTAGTATTCAAGACCTCAAGGAAAGGATAAGGCAACGTACCAACTTGCCACTGGGGCCGAGCATTGACACCCATGGAGAAACTTTTCTCTCACAAGAAGTGGTGGTGAACCTTTTGCAGGAAACCAAGCAAGCTTTTGAGAGATGTCACAGAGTAAGTTCACTTCCTGCTGTCTCCATTAGAGAGAAAATTTTGTGTATAAAGTCAAATCTTGAGGTTCAGTTTGATAGATAGAAGGGAAGAACTGCAGTGTATTAAAAAACTCTTCTGTTTCTCACTGAGTCGGGGTCATGTTAGGGATTTGGGGTTTTCTGTATAAATGTGGATTACTTTTATCTGTCTATATTTGGAAGAAGCAGGTAGGGTTAAACCTACTTAGCTACATAGGTGGATTCTTTTTTGTTGTCTTTTTTTTTCTTTTTAAATAAACCAGACTCAAGAACTGAGACAAATTTACTGCTTTCCTCCCCTACAGAGTTGTGACTGCAGAGTTTTTTTGTATCAAGTGCCATTTCTTCAATTGTCATACAGAACTGACACAAAGAACTAAGTGAAATCATCTTTAGTAGTTTACCTTAACTCTGTACTGTTCTTTAAGAACCTGTGCTACCCAGAAAGGTTTTCTTTCTACCTAAATCACCTGTTTTATTGCCTGTAATTTACTGTTTGGTATTCAAGTGTAAGTGAAAACCTATGAAATTTAATTGGAGACTTCAGTGAATTCCTAGGGCAATATTTATTAGATAAACACAGTCATTCCAAACATAGTTTGATGCCTCTAATATTCTAAATTAGCATAGTGTAGAAGAGGTTCTAACACCTTAGTTATTCAGAAGCTTTAATGCTCAACATTCTAAGATGGGGGAAGCATGTAATAAAATATCCAGCACAGTATTACCTATACATGTAGGGATGATCACATTCTTAGTGGTAGAAGTCAGTGAATGCAGGTAGATCATCTTTTTTTTTTTTTTTCTCAGTATGGTTGTTGCTAGGAAATCATTAAAATCATAGAACAAACTTCTTATGCATACTTTTGTTTTTTTTCCCCCTGTTAGGGTCAGGTTTTCTTTTTGGTTTTTTTTTTTTTTTTTTGGTTTTTGGTTTTTTGGTTTTTTTTGTTCTAAACTCAGTTGCATTGGTTTGGATGATTTGATTGGTGTTGCATTGGGGAAAACTGGTTGAGTGCAAAATGGATCTTGTGAAATAAGGAGACTTTTAGAATTACAGGCACATTAAAAACCTCTGTGTCATCGTGCTGCTAAGACTGTATTTGTGATCAGAGCAATTCACTTTGCAAAGGAGAAGTTAAGTAGTGGCCCGTTCATGCCCCGTCCATCCCTGGAGGTGTTCAAGTCCAGGTTGGATGGGGCCCTGGGCAGCCTGGGCTGCTATGAAATGGGGAGGTTGGTGGCCCTGCCTGTGGTGGGGGGTTGAAGGTTCATGATCCTTGAGGTCCCTTCCAACCCAAGCCATTCTATGATTCTATGACAGGCTAGCCGATTGGAATATTTCATTGTATGACAGCTGGTACACTGTGAGTCCCAACCATGACTGATTTAGGAGAAAAAGGCTGACAGTTCTGCCTAACCCTATATTGAAACATCCCTGTGCTTGGAAATGTCTCTAACAGGGTGGGGGTTTTGTTTTTGTTCATTTTTTAGGCATCCTGTGGAAATCTCTTCGAGTGTTCTTGTGTAAATTAACCTGGATTGCGATAGTAATCTTACTCCAAGCTTCCAAAAGTCTCCACTTAATCCCTTGAAAACCAAAGCTCCATTTTTTTTTTGCATGCAAAAGCCCTGTCACATTTTTCTTTTAAAAAAAAAAAAAAAAAAAAAAAAAAAAGGATTTGCAGACAAGTTGCTGCTCCAAATCCTGTGCTGCTTACAGTTCATGAAGGTAGAGATGCTGTGTGTACATGTAGGCATTGCTTCACTTAATAAAAATTGTCATGCTCTGTTGACTCCAGCTGAACTGTGATAAATGTCAGTGAGGTTCAGACCGTGTTGTTTTTTTCTGAGGTACTGAGACAGTGATGGAACAGCAGCACTGCCTCTAGCTGTGGTCAGTGGCAAAAGCAGTGAAAAAAGGCAGGGGGTGTACAGTGTCAGCCTTTACCAGGTACCTCATTTCAGCGCCAAGCAGTGGGTGGTTTAGGTGATTACAGAAATTACAGCTGGATGTTTGTGTTTTTACAACTGAATTAATGTCTTCCTTCATTCATTATCACTGCTATTATTAGAAACTGTGTATATTTTTGCTTTCCATAGCATCCTGCAGCGCATTGCCTTCATTTTACCTGTTAGTACCAAAGAGTTTGTTGGTACTGAAGGCTGTTCCTGAATAGTTCTCTGTATGGATGCTTTTAATTTAAAATAAAATTCCAGTTTTTCTGAGATACTCGTTACACTTTAAGCTTATCCTCTACTCAATATTGGGTAAGCTTTCAAATATATGTAAAACTGACCTTTAGAATAAAAGTTCTTCTTTTTCTTTTAAGCTCTCTGATCCGTCTGACTTACCGAAGAACGCTTTCAGAATTTTTTCTATGCTTGTAGAGTTCTTATGCACTGAACACATTGATTATGCATTAGAAACAGGCCTTGCTGGTGAGTATAATATTTCTTGAACACTTCATCTCACTGGCCTTTTTGGGCAGATCATCTTTACAGATCTTTTGCTGTGCCTCATTGATTGGTCTTGTTCAAAATGTTTCGGTTAAGTGAAACCTATGAGAAGTATTCTATACATGGCACCACGGTAAATTTATCTGACTCTAAGCATGTGATTTTTAGCACTCATGGAAAAATCTGCATATTTGAAATATCACGTTAATTAAAGAACTGTGTATCGTTGTTATATTAATGAAACCTTCTTTCCTTTAGGCATTCCCTCTTCTGATTCAAAGAACGCGAATCTTTATTTCCTGGATGTTGTCCACCAGGCCAATACTATTTTCCATTTGTTTGACAAACAGTTCAATGATCATCTGATGCCATTAATCAGGTACTTTTATTTTGATTAGTTTCCATTGTGAATGGTAATTTTTGGTGAACAGAGCAGCTTTATATTCTTTATTTTCATCTCTGGTAAGAAGAGTTTATTCTTGGAGTGGTTCAGCTTGATGTTGCAGGAAGATGAAATACTGTCATGGGAGGAGGAGGAAGGGAAGTTATCCTTAGATAACCAGAAGGAGAGAGGGAGCTTTTAGGGTATTGATAGAAGAAGAGGAGTTGCTTTGCAGAGATCTTGCTGCTGTATTGCACTGGGGTAGTGTGGTTTTATGGCTGCATCTTGGGGTGAGCAGGGCTGAAGAGATTGGTGGAGTCTCTGCAGGGGAAGAAGCTGGCCATGCCGTGGAGCAACACATGAATTACATGGAATCTGCATGGAATCAATGAGCTGCTGGTTGGATCTGCTCGAGGTAGAACACACTGATGTGTTATGAATCAGCGTGCACGAGCTGCCAGTCAGTGCTCCACAGTTCTGCTCAAGGTCACGTGGCTATTGATTTGGTGATCTGAAGCCAGCCTACTCCACCTAAATTCATCCTTCTTGATGGAACAGGAATTCTTCACACATCCCTGATTTAAGAAGCCATCCCAGCAAACAGATTTGTTCTGGTATTCTAACCCTTTCTCACACAACTCTTTATGCTGTTGCAGTTCGTCTCCTAAGTTATCCGAATGCCTTCAGAAGAAAAAGGATATCATAGAACAGATGGAGGTGAAGCTGGATATGGGCATTGATCGGCAAGTAGAGATTTAAACTTTGTTAAGCACCAATTCTTTTAAAACTCCTTTGTGATTTACTATTTGGTTCCCTTTTCAGGATTAAATATTTCTGAACACAAAGATGTCATTATATTTTTTTTTTTTTAACATTATTCTGTGCAGGAAACTTAGATTTTGTTTGTATGGAGAGTCTTATTTACGTGGCAGTTTTCTGACCCTACGTAATCTGGAAAGATGTTAGTAAATCTGTTAAGAGTGCTGTCAGCTTTACTTTATTGTCTCATGCTACTTTTTTTCCTCCATTTGAAGGAATGATGATTGAAATAGGTTAAAGACTTGCAGAATTTCCACAAGGGAAAAAGTTTGGCAAAAATAGGTTAGATGATGTGAGAGAATCTGTGCTATGGATTACACCTAGTCATAGAAATCTGCAGACCTGGAATGATTTTTGTTTCTGACATCAGCTTGCTTTGAGATTATGACTTATTTAATCTTTTTTCCTTTTCTTCTGATAATATTGGAATAGCCATAACATTTGTAAATGAAAATCGTGCAGTGACGGCAGTAAGCCTTCCTATGGGATATGAAAGCTACTCTGGAACTCATTGAAATTTATGTAGGAGTCATTCCACACTGGAAAGGGTTGAGAACAGCTCTATATAGGAAAAGTAGGCGTTGCATTTTTGTCTTACAGGGTGATTTCTGTGGAGACAAGGAGGAGACTGGATGTATTTCCAGAGAGCTCTACAAGTTGTTTCTTAAAGACATTTTCTGCAGGTGCAAAAAGAATGGTTGGAGGTGGAATACGTGTATGTAACAATTGAGATTTTAGCTGTTGCTGCTGGAAGTCGATGATAAAGGCTTAAATGCAAAGCTTGAAATACTTGAACCACAGCAACCATAAGCTTGGCTCTGGACAGGCATGGGTCAGTTGTCAGCATTAGAATAGTTTTAACTGTGTCAAGTAAATAGTTTCTTAAAAGTGACAGTAAGACTTAGGAGAACAAATCTATGTTGGAATACTGTGCTCAAAGGTTTGTGGACTCTTCATAAGCACTGGCACTCTTACACGTAAGGGAGAGCTTAGTTTTCAGATGAATGTTACATGTAAGATGTGTGCTCTTGCTTACATGCTGCTTTGTGGTACCACTGCTGCTAAGAGTTGATTGCCTTAATGAAAGGAATGATCTACTTTGAGAAATAAAGCACTTCCTAATGCTGAAATTGCTAATGCAAGTAATTTCTAAATTTAAAGCCATCAACATTATGCAACCTGAACGAGTCCTTCAGGAGCTTCTGGAATGGCGTTCACATCATTGTCTGCCTCTATAGAAGTGATTTACTAGTCAGCCAAAAGTAGAAGTAGTTCTAATGGTTTTCTGTCAGTTTGTATTCTGTGTAACCAGTCTATTGGGAGTATTTATTGAAAACAGAAATGGAGGAGAGTGTAAAATTTTTTTTCTTTTTAATTTGATTGCACATAGGTTGTTGAATGAAATGCAAATTTGAGTTTCTATGCATGGAAAAGGAGTTTTAAAGGATCCATTTATTACATTTGTGGACATAAACATTCTTCCCCTGCCCTTCCTTTTTTTTTTTTTTTTTTTTTTTTTTTTTTTTTTCATTTTACAAGTGTTTTCTGATGCTTGCTGCTGAATAATACACAGTGTGATCTAATTCTACTAACTAAGCATTTGGAACTCTTCCTTTGGCTGTCCCATTCCCTCAGCAGTGCTATCCAGCTCCTCTGAAGAGCTGGGATTGGTTACTTCCCACTTAATGTGTCCCTTTAAAAACCAACTGGCCAGCATGTTTGCTTGTCTTTTCCCCTACTTCTGTTTTTCTTAATGACTTTCTAAAAATCAAGCTTGTCTTTAGAGAACTGCACTGTAACTACAGTCCCTTGTTTCTTATGTTTCCTTTTGGTGTATATTCTATAGATTAAGTGGTGAGGTTTTTTTTTCCTCGTTGTTTTATGCTGCATACTTTTATACAAAATCACTTCACTATATGTCAGTATAAAAATCAAGGAAATGAGAACGTTCCCTTCAGAACTCTTAAGTGTTCTTTGTAACTTTAAAGGACTTTGAATTGTATGATTGGACAGATGAAGCACATCTTGGCTGCAGAGCAGAAAAAGACAGATTTTAAACCAGAAGATGAAAACAACGTTTTGATTCAATATACTAATGTAAGTAAATTAAGTTCCAACTCATCAGTATACCTTGAAATGCACTTGAGTGATATCAAACACGAGACAGAGTTTAACAAATACATGTTTGACAACGTGCATTCGATTGATTTACTTAGCCACTGGACTAAGGAACTGCAGGCTCTATTGAGGACTGCTTTTCCAAGCTGGAGGGGACATTAGAATTTTGTGTGTAGTCAGACAAAAATCTGACATTAGGCGCTGTACAAGCTGTCACAATTCTTTCCCATCCCAGGAGGCCCAGATTTAAATCCAAGTTTTTAACTGATAATTGGCTTGAAGCTATCAGTTTCAAAAAACTTGTTATCAGATACTCTCTAGTTGCTGGGTGCTTTTTCCCCTTAGGAACAGAAGAAAGCAGTATGGGTATGGCAAGACCATTTTTTTTACTGCAGAATTTTCTGTATCACTGTATCGTATTTTATGTATCGTATTTTACGGCCTGGAGGATGGAATTTAAACTTCAGGGCTGTGTTGCATTAGGCTGTTGTTAGGGAGCAATTAGAGAGATGTAGATTGTTAATGGGAGGAATATATCTGAATATGTGAAGCTGGGTGAAAGTGGGAAGAGTGCAGCAGTAGGTTGTAGAGGTTGGTAGTGTGTGGGAAGAGTGAAGATGGCTGTTAAATTGGGTTTACAGTTACTGCTGACAGGGTTTGAATCATCTTGATTGTCCCCTTGGCTAATTGTTGCTTAAATTAAAAGTGCAGACTAAACTGAACTGACATAAAGTATGATTTGGTGAAATGTTGTCTTGTATCCTTTCTTTTTATGCATACTTATGTCTCTGTGACAAATGAAAACCTATTGGAATTATTAATTGGAAGGTAACAGATGATGTCACGCTGTGGGAATTTTAAAGAATTCACTAATTAATGTTCAGCTTATGATGTAGAAGGCACTTTATGAGAACAGGTTTCTTGATATTTATGTATTTTTAAATTTTCATTTAATCTTTTTTTCCTAAGGCTTGTGTTAAAGTCTGCAGCTACGTTAGAAAGCAGGTGGAAAAGATTAGGAAATCTATGGATGGCAAGAACGTGGACACAGTTTTGATGGAGCTTGGAGTTCGTTTCCATCGACTCATCTATGAACACCTGCAGCAATACTCCTACAGCTGCATGGGTGGCATGTTGGCTATTTGTGATGTGGCTGAATATAGAAAGTGTGCCAAAGACTTCAAGGTAAGTTATGTGTACGTTGGTGATGTACAGCCATGTTGATGGGTTAGATACTATTTTATTTTACCATTTCTTCTGAGAAGTTTTCGAAAGTGATCTTTTTGTTTGAATATCAGCATTTCATGTGCTGATGTTGTATGTCCTGTTAATTGTACTAGTAGTGCTTTATCACATCCTGAAGAGCAGTTTGCTGATGCTATTTTGTTGCTTGCAGGCTAGAGAGAGAGAGAGAGAGAGAGAGAGAGAAAGTGTTTAGTGTTTATGATACAGTGTATTCCAGATAGAATTTTGTATTGAAGTAAAAGCTAAGATTTGGTTTCTGGCCAAGACCTGTGGTTCTCTTGCTTCAAGAGCTTTGTTTTTTCCCAATGACTATTGCCAAAATTTTGAGAAAGTCAAGACAAGGGGACTTGTTTTTCTAAGTCTCTTCTGATCATATTTAGTTAGAGATTTAAGTTTACTGAAATTTGGTAGAGATTTTTTTTTTAATTTTACATTTGTTGGTATCAATGAGTCTTTCGTGGAATAGTCTTAAAACTTAACAAAAACAAAAGAAAGCATCCCTCCCTTAGTTTTCTCAATGATGTCTTAGGGCTTTGAGGAAATAAATCCATTCTAGCCTTCAGTTTGTTTTTGCAAGCAGTTCAGTACACTTTTAAATTGCAATGTAGATTTGTGTTGAACATGAGATAAGCATACAGTGAGAAATAGCAAGCTATCTTAGTTACTTTGTAATTGGTTTGTTTTTTGCTCTCATTCCATGTGCATATATATGTCTATATACAGAATGACTGAAATGTATTTTCAATAGGGAAGAAGTATTTTGAGAATCTTGATGGGTGCCGTATGCAGTTTTTTTACTCTTAACACCTCTCTCTTTCTTTTTCTTTCTTAACCACAGATTGCTCTGGTGTTGCAGCTCTTTGATACTTTGCATGCACTTTGCAATCTTCTGGTTGTAGCCCCGGATAACTTAAAGCAAGTTTGCTCAGGTGAACAACTTGCTAATCTGGACAAGAACATCCTTCACTCCTTTGTTCAGCTGCGTGTTGATTATAGGTCTGCACGTCTTGCTCGTCACTTCAGCTGAGAGCACAGGAGGAAATGTACCTATGGGCAGGCCTCAGAAAGCACAGGGAATGTTTTCTTACCAAACCACAGCTGTAACTTTTGTGGAATAATGACTGTTCAGAATAAAACAGCCATATTTAGACGTGACAATGTAGAATGCTAGCAAGTGAAAATCTGAATGATACGTAAGCTAAAGTTCTCCCACTGATGAATTTTAGCACGACTACTTGCTACTGATTTATTTTTTTTTTTAATTGGGTGTGTTGGTGTGGGGAAGCAAGTGGTCCATGGGAAGTATCTTAGTCTTCAGTATTGAATCATCAGATACCATTTGTTAGAGTTTGAACTACAGAGCATAGCGTAGGTAATGGATTACATAGAATAGACCAGTGTAACAACATTCTTCATCAATTTTAATGACTTAGACTTCAGCACAGCTAATCATAATCAAATTATCTTTGATTGGTGTTTCTAAGTCATTTCTTTCATTTAAAACGTTATCCTGCCCAATGTAATTTCTTGCTCTAATTAATTAGTTGGGAATTTCTTTGAGATATAGAAGTAAAAGGAACAGTATCCCACAAAGATGTAATTTATTCATTGTGTAGCATTCTAAACATAACTAACGTGGTGGAAAGATTTTATTTTTTTGGTTCTTTGGTTTTGGGTTGGTTTTTTTTTTTTTTCACCTAACAGTCAAGGGCCCACTGAAAAATATTGGTATTGTATGACCTGACATTCTTGTTTCTCTCTGCTTGATATTGGAACACTGAATTTGATAGATGCTCCTGAAGTGCAGCTGCCTTGTCTGGGCTTTGTTACTACAAGGTGAAGGTGCCTGTGGTTGGATTAATACAATTTTTTCCTGTCTCTCATTTTATATATAAATAAATTGAGATTCTAACAAGTGAAAGGATAAAAATGTAGCCCAAGTGTTCATTTATCTACAGGAGGAATGGACTGCAGCTCTAGCAAAATCCGAAAGGTGAAATGTACTGTGCTGATGATAATTGATCCTTGGTGCCTGAGCAATATGAAATGCTGAAGTGTGCAAAAGTTTCTCTCCCCCTGCTCGTAATTTTAATATTGGAGACAGACTACTTCTGCATCAGTTCTACTACAGCATTTATTCAAGGTGCTTCTGAGATGGACCACATTGTGTGCCAAGAGAGAGTTGAAGCACTGGTGGTTTGAAACATCTAGGGTAGCTTTTCCTCAAGCAGTTGAAAATTGTTGTAAATAGACCTTTGTTCAGAACAGACTCATGGAAAACAGGTTGGGACTGCTGTGGACTGTCTTCAATCTGACTCACATCGTCTCCAAACAGATCATCTGTAACACTTTTATTTCTACTGCGGGCTCAGCGTGCATTATGAAAACCTTTCTCTCCCATCTTCAGAGCAGCAATCCTATAGATTTGCTTTAAGGGTTGGTCAAATCAAATTATTTTTGTTAATGGCTTCCCAGGTGTAGTCAATATTGACAGACTCGTGCGGAACTCTTCTTGGTTAGTTGAGGTTCTTCTGCTTCATTTTCCATTTAGCAGAGCACTCTATCAGTAAACAAGAGCTTGGATGCCAGGCTTTCTCAAAGTGTTCTGGGAGCCTGGCTGCTTTGTTGAGCTGCAGAGCTCTATTCCTTGGCCATGGCAAAGCCACAAAGAGTTTGGGATGCTGGAGGAGGCCCATGCTTGTACTGCTGCCATTTGTTTTTTTTTCCTAAAGCTCTGATGTGAATTCAGATGATACCTCTCTGTTACCTCTGTAACTGAAAGCCAACAATTTTAAGGCTGTGGTTTTATTAACCAATACAAAATCTTTCTACAAACAAAAAAAAAAGTGTCAATTTGTAATAAAAAAAACTTCAGAACAGTGAACATCACTTTGAGATCACAGATCACAGAAGTGCTTCAGAATTTGTTGTATGGTTGTTTGGACTTATTTTAAGGTTGTATGAAATGTGTATTTACCATATTTCTTGCTTTATTAGCTGTGTTTCCCATGAATGTGCTCAGTGCAATATTTCATTATGCCTGTTAACAGGAGGCAACAAAAAGTAGGTGAATACTAGAACATACATATGTAAACTCTTCCTCAATAAAAAGAATTTCCTCCAGATAACTTTCTTCCATTTCATTTCCGCATTCTTCTACTGTCTTTGTGCTCAATTATAAAAACAAAACCTATTCAATAGGAAAAATAGGGGGGAAAAATAATTTTGCTGATCAAATTAATCACTGATGTGGGCTTTTCTCTTCCCCTCTTCTTGACAAACCTCCCCATGCACGTACTGAAGGAGTTTCTGTATGTTGTCAGTAAGTTTGCTTTGCAATACAGCTGGGATTGGGATAGAGTGGGAGACTGCAATTTTCACACATTTTTTTAAGTTTAGAGCTATTATAGCATATAATTTGGGAAAATATTTCCAGTGGTTTCTGAATACCATCGAGTACTATCCGAAATACAAATATGCATTATAATGTTCGTGTAATGAAGTAAAGTGTTGCCTTTCTCATGCTTGCTCCCAGAACATTGGCATTTAACAGGCTGGCAGCCAAATGGATGCCTGAGAGGAGAGCATGCGTGTGTGTGTAATTATGTTGTCTACAATTGGTGAAAATGGCTTTGCAGTGAACTGTTGTGGGCTGGAAAATAAGCTGTGTTTTTTTAGAAGTCCTATAATTTAGTAACCTGGTTTGTTATTGTCTCACATATGTGCAAAGCACAGGGATTGGTGCTCTGTAAGAAGGCTTTTCAGTGCGAATAAAAATAAAATTGGGAAATGGAAGTGCTTGGAAAAATAGAAGGTCCTGGTTTTTAGGTGAGGCTAAGAGACAGACATGAATTAAAAAGGTATGGGGAACAAGCAGTTTTGTAGCACATCACAGGAGAGGTTAAAATGTGATTAATAGAAACCTGGCATGCACGTCGATCCAGGAAGAATAAGCAGGATTGGAAATAGAATCTTTTTACAGCTGCATCCCCATCCTGAAATGGAGTGAGCCTCTAGAGAGGGGCTGGCTGAAATACTTGGCCTTGGAGCTGCTCGCTCGTCTTGAAACTGCTGGGTTCAATGGGAAGAGGCTTTCCATGCTCTACTGTAAATCTACTCTGAAGGACAGGTGGTAATGCTGCAAAGTGAGCTGTGCCTGCTTCTGCTATGAGGACCAGAAATGTCTCAGCACTGCGCAGTTAGGAGGAAGGAAGACAGGATTGCTGGAGCTGAGCCTGGTTTTGTTCTTTGAAGACTGCGGTGATGCGGATAATGGTGAGTAACTGCTGGACTGGAGAACTGCATGGTACCAAATGGGAGAAGGTTAGTGTGTCTCAGGGACAATCAGTGAGAGAACCTGAGTTGGGTTTGTAGGAAATAAGGTAAATACATGATATGGTAAAAATTCTGCCTCTTCTAAAGTGCTTTGAAAAGGTGGAGAGAGACCTGCTGTGTGCCAGTATGGGTCCTGGAATATGTAGGCCTGTTCTTCAGAAACCCTCAGTTCCAAATTTACTCAATTTTAGATGTCATAACAGATCCCAACAAGGAGTGGTACTCTGTGGATGAAGTTTTTATTGTGTAACTATGCCAATTTGGATTAGTGTTTGAGCTCTACCAGTCACAGGCAGGGAAACCTGCCCAGGCCAAGGGTGGTAATTGTGTTTCTATGGAACATAACAGTGATTACTTGTCTCGTTTTAGATGAGGGTAGCAGCTCTTTGTTAAGCTTCCATCTCAAGAGGACCATTCCATCCCAGCAGGGAGGACAATGCCATGCTTCATGCCTAGAGCTACTGTTCTTGAGGACACCTGAAAGGTAAGAGCACCTTTCCCATCCTCTTGTTCTGCTCCGTGCTGGCATCAAGGCAATGTCTCTCACACTTCTGCCTTTTGTAAACAGATAGATTTGTGTCTTGCTACCTACACTGCAGTATTTCCTCTGTGGACATCAGGTGGACAGGCTGGCACATTGTTTGTTTTCTCTTCCACAGTTGTTCTTACACCCGTTCAAGGGAGGGGAGGGAAAGACATTGCCTCCTGTCCAGCCATGTTCACTGCTTAGTGCTCGTCTGTTCTTTTTTTCCCCTCTTTCCTTATTTCTTCAGTGGCAGGAGATTTCTGTGTCTTCTGCTTATCTGTGAGTCAAGAAGCAGCTGTGTTTGCCTGTCTTCTTTTCACTTGTATGGGGCACTGCTTATCCTGTGTCAATACAGCCTTTAGTCTGTGTGGAAGCCCTGGTTTTACTTGTATTCTATTAGCTTTACTTCTGTGTCCTATTTTCCTTTCCAGACCTCTTAGGACTGCATTGTCCCTTCCCCACTGTTACAACACTAACAGAGAGCAAGCCACTAACTTTGCAGGATGGCTTCTAAGTGTCCTCTAGATACTGCCTAATGGTTCTTCAGCTATATGTTGCCTGGTAGGTCAAGGAGTTTGGTTCCTTTCCTTTTTATCTTGCTACCTTCCCCATATTCCATATTCCTGTTGTGCTACAGAAGAGGTTTTTGTTTGTCCTTCATAGGCTGACCCAGGAGCTTTGAGCTATGGATTGTTATCCTTGCAGGGTCAGAATTGTTCCCCTCTATAATGTCATTTTAGAGAATGGCTTGTGTAATTCTCATGAGATGCTTAGCTGTAAGTACTGGATTCTTCAGTTGATTTTGTAGTACGTGATGTTCTTTGAAAGTTGGCATTTTACTGAAAACCCAAATGGTCTCATAAGGCTACCAGAGCATGAAATAAACAAACGGTACTTGGGGATTCTGGTGCTTTCAGGCCAATAGGGATAATGGCGGCAGTGGCTGTGGCTGAAACCTGTTGTGCTGATACCTGTGTTTGTATTTCTCCAACCTGGATTTAGCAGGAATAGAACGGAGAGTGGATTAAAAGATGTTTCTCCCTTTGGTTCCTTCGTTTTGGGTGCACAATGGGCTCTATAAGTTGGGGCTGTTTCTTCTCCCCTCTTCTTTGTTGACAGTTTGTACCACCTTTTTCCCTTGGAATTTATTCACCTCATTTGTTATCAAGGTTGCCTTTGTCAGTCTTGGCCCTATCCCAACTTCATTTCTAGCCGAGGCACATGATACATATTTGTATCATGTCACAAACAAGCACTTGCAGTCTGTTCTTTCCCATCTTGAATGCCTGCTTTTCTAGTTTGGCCATCAGCATGGTGGGGATGGCAGCTGGCATTCTACCAAGGGTCTCCAGCCTCCTCAAGGCCACCTCTGTTTGAAAAGAGAGGCAGAGAGGCCGAGATGTCCCAGATTGATTCACAGATAGATAAACCGTGTAGCAGCAGAACAAAAGCAAGGTAAATAACTTGTGTTGAAAGACACGGTTACAGTTCTGCTGGCAGCATCAGCTGAGGTGAAGACAGTCATTTGGAACTCTGCTGTTCTGACATGTGGCATTTGGGTGTTGTAGTAAAGCCAGCTAACGTGAACTTATTGGAAACATTTTTGTAACGTTCCATTTGCTGTAAACAATTTATTAAAATAACTTGCTAAGTCTTAGACAAGTGGGTTTTTGAAGGTTGCTCATTTTACTTATCCACCCAAAGTCAATTTGAGTATGAATATATATCGTTTTACTCATAATAGCAAACAACTTCAGAGAAGAAACATTTATTCTGGAGGCAGAGATTCAAACTAAACGGCAATGATGCATTACAAATATATAATTATTTGCACTAATATTTGAGCAGGTGGAATGGATTAGTGCACGGTCAACATTACATTGCTGATAACATGTATTTTTCTATATTAATATGTACTGTGCAACATGTATTAAAATTCATTTTAACAGAGATAGCAATATTTATATTGCTGTGTTCTACAGACGGCAGACTGAATTGCTGAAATGTGCAAAGCTGGGCTTGATTCAACTTAACTTTGTTTCCCTGTTTGTGTGTTTTTAATTTCTCATTTAAAAAAAAAAAAAAAAGGCCACATTAAACAACCCAACAGCCTTCAGGCCAGAAAGGTTTGCTTCAGTGTGGAGTTTTTGATCTAAATCACTTTCACTTCTGCTCTCCCCAGCCTGGCAGGAAGTGTCTTGAAATGAGGCCTCCAAAGCTCAATCCTTTGTATCAATACTGGGATACAACCTCATTTTAGGAGCTTGATGGGTATGTTCCCTCTGGGGATTTTCCTGAATTATTATTTTTTATAGGACCCGCTTTTGGCTTGTAAGCTGTTTCTTTTCCCTCTTAATACATCTTTCTGGAAGTCTCTGATAGTAGAGATAGACTGTTTAGCCAGTGAATGTGCATCCTGTTATGACAGAACAGCAAGAGGAGAGACCTGGTCCTTGTTGGTACTGTTAAGCAGGAAGTGTGGCATGGGTTGAGACACTAAGTTTTAGAAGGATATATTGAATCATGTCACATCTGCAAGTGTTTCTTGACAGCTGCTTTGATCTGAGGTGTGTTCTGGTGAGATGCAGGCCTGGGGCATGTGTTATGGTTCGGGGAAAAAATGGCCTTAATTGCTTTTCCCTCAAAGGGGGATGTCCAGAGACACACGCAACAGCGGAGTTCAAAGCATCCAGAATCCACCCATCCATCCAAAGACATTAAATGACCTCCCTTTCCAGCCAGATGTGAGTTGATGTTCAACCAGACTAGTTAATCTCTCTATTTTTTTGTGTCGTCTTAAAATTTTATTATGTATATGCTGATATATATGTTAATCTCAGAGAAGCAGCTGTGAGGATGGATCATCTGTCATAAATGCCTACATAAACTTCGAGCCTAATGGGAAGAAAGTCTTTTAAAAAGTACTTTTTTTCTTGCTCTGCAATGGTGAAAGCCTTAAGTAGCAATTTTGAGGCAGGTCTTGAACTCCAGGTCTTCTGAAGGAGACCAGAAACAGTCGGTTTACCTTCGCTCAAAATACAGGGCGCCGTGCCAAATTCTCTGCTGGTGTTAGCAGCTGTAACTTTGCCAGCTTCAATGAAAATGTGCATTTCTACAAGTCCATAAGCGTGTTAGACACATACCTTTGTCTCTCCACAATTAGTTTTGTTGCTTACATAGCATGAGGCTTTCTGCAGTACATAATCCAATGGCTAAATATAGTAATTCCAATGCACTTGAGATCAATTAGATTTGTACTTTTAAACT